AAACCCTAAACCCTAACCTTTTTGGGTATAAGGTTCAGATCTGAGAGCCTTACAGAGCGTCTCTTGGAGTCTGTTGGGGTTGAGGGGATCAGGTTTGAAGCCTAAGGTCGACGGTGTACCAGAGTTTCGGGCTTATGTTTTTTTTTTGTTTTGTGTGTGTGTATGTTTTTTTGTATTTGTCTGGTTTAGGGTTTATGGGGGTTTAGGGTTTAGGGATTCTTCTTTCCAGGGTCTACGGGCTTAGGGTTTAGGGTGGTGTAGGTTGCAGTGTCCAGGGTGTAGGTTTGAAGGGGCTAGAGAGCGATGTTTAGGCAAGTTCTAAGAGGCCAGGTAGCTGTGGGTATCATAAGATGCCTGTATGGCTCGTTCATGCGCAAGGAACAAGAACGACCTGCATGGGTAGCTGGGAGAAGGGTAGCTGGTCTTCCGGGGAAGAACCAGAAGTAGTGTGAGCTAAGGGGTGCTATCTGGCGATTCTTGCCTCCCTGCATCAATGTGCCGGACACGACCCCAAACCTTAAACCCTAAACCCTAAATTGCACGACGTCCTCCAGCCTGGACAAGACCTTGGACTCAGGAAGCGCTAGCCGTTTGCGCCCCGGACCGGCCACGGCGGTTAGAGGCTCCAGTGAGTTGTCGAGCTTCTCAGGAACGCAGTCCGGCCAAAGGATGATGATGTGCCTTTGCCACGAGAAACGAGAAAGTGGACGTGGGACGAAGCAGACGTTCAGGAGCCGGAAGATAGGTCTCCAAATGTTGGTAGATGCACATCGTGCGTTGGTGCAGGCCCAAATACGTCGATACCTGGTTCTACGTGTGCCGAGAATGCCGCTTTTACAAGGAACTGGGGTCTCAGCTTCTGTGTTTGACTGGGTGAGTGATTGGTGTGGGCTGTGGAGTATCTGCTCGAGGTGCGGCGGCTGCATCTGAGACTTGCCAGCGTCTACGTAGGCTTGGAATCAAAAGCCTTGAATTGCAGACACTCAGTGTGAAGTACGAAGCACAATCTCAAACCTTGAGCTCTAGTCGTATAATCCTTGCACCTTGCCGACACCTCTGCCCCAGCAGCTTAGGCGCAATATTCCCCAAGTCGGTACTTCTAACACTCTATATACAAAGTCGTCCCCCACAGCCGAAAACACTACGCCCCAGAAATCTGCATCACTAAGACTCGAGTCAAAACGCTCTATGAGATCCATGCAAAGTCCTATACAACTTTGGAACACGAGGACATACCTATGGTTTTTGAAAGTCCATTTGCTTAGACCTGAGGCCAAACCCGAAACCCTAAAACCTTAAACCCTAAACCCGAAACCCTAAATCGGCTTTAACCCCGGAATTCCAAAAACCCTAAACCCTAACCCCGACAAGCCTTAAGCCCTAAACCTCTACAACCTAGGCCCAAAGCCTTAAACCCTAAACCCTAAAACCCTGAACCTTAAAGCCCTAAACCCTCAAACCTTAAGCCCTAAAACCCCAGACCCCCCTCCCTTCCAAACAAAAAAAAAAGTTCCCAGGTCCAAGTTCAAGACTGCCAAGGTCAAGGCCCTGCAGAAGGCAGGACCCGGAAGTTGGTGCTTTAGGGTTTTAGGGTTTTTTTTGGGCTTCAGGTTTAGGGCTTTAGGGCTGTAGGGTTTTGAGGGTTTAGGGTTTAAAGCTTTAGGGTTTGGGATTTAGGGCTTCGGGGCTTTAGGGCTTTAGGGCTTTAGGGTTTACGGTTTTAGGGTTTAGGTTTTTAGGGTTTAGGGTTTTACGGTTTCGGGTTTAGGGCTTTAGGGTTTTAGGGTTTAGGGTTTTAGGGTTTAGGGTTTATAGGGGTTAGGGTTGCAGAGTTAACGGGAAACTGGCGGTTTAGGGGGGTTTGCGGTGCAACCACGTATCCTTGATTCGAGGGTGTTTGCCAGGTGTTACAATTGTTTTTTGTTTCGATCAGGGTTTAAGGCGTCTGCATGCTCCATCAAGGGCCTGCTCGAGGCTCTTTGCGAGAATTGGATGGGAGCTATGAGGTTGATTAGGGCTCTGCTTTGGGACTTGTCTGTTTGTGTCTGTGCTAGGGTTTGGGGCTTAGCGTTACGGATTTTATGGTGAAAGGGTTGAAGGGTCAACGAGTCGGGACATTGTCGTACCTGCTTAAAGTACAAAACAATACTGAGGGTGCCCAGACTGACATTTCGGAGGCGATGGGCCTACCCATAGGCCCCATAGTAGTTCCTCTTTTGTGGCTTAGATTTAGGATCCTGTGAGGTAATCCCAAAAAGGAACTATTATCGGGCCTATGGGTATGTACATTCTGCAGGACCGTGCAGGTTTCGGGCTTGAGGTTACGCCGAGCCTTAAGCCCCAAACAAACGCCTGTAACGCTAAACTCCAAACCCTGAGCCCTGGACCCTAAACCCCCCAAACCCTGACCCTAGACCCGAAAGCCTAAACCCCCTAAACCCTGAACCCTAAACCTCCTAAATCCTGACCCTGAACCCTAAACCCGATCCCGTGATGCCCAAACCAAGATTGCCAGTGTAGGGGCGAAACAGCAACCCACAACATGTTGAAGAGGTGAAGGCATTGGAATTCGACGTGCGCTCCGCTGCCAGCAACTGGAAGGCTCTGAAGTGCGGGGCTGTTTCGGGCAAGCGAAGGTACCACAGAGGTTATGTAGGCTTTCTATCCCAAGCTCCGGCCTTAAACCTTTAGCCTTGAATCGTATGTTCACGAACTCATGCCTTTCCTTATCCGGCATGGGCCGCTCCGGGTTCAGAGTTCTGGGCTTCGGCGTTTCGATATTTGGGGCTACGGGTTCTGGTGGTTCGTTGATTTCGGGCGTTTGGGTTGAGGGTACGGGTGCTGGGAACTCCTGGCCCCACTGTGGAATCAAGAGACGGTTTAGGGTTTGGGGTTACTTCAGCAGCCCAAATTCTGCAGGCTTCCTTATGGCAAGTGTACTTTTTTTTGGCTATACAATATACTCGCCAAACCCCGGTTGCACTTCGACAAATCGTTGTCACGTGCAGCAAGCCTTCCAGAACCCTGGGATCCTGCGTCCTAAACCCCCAATACCCTGAAGCCCCAGAAACCTAAGGCATACACCCAAGGAAACCCCTAAAGCCTAAACCCACAAAATCTACATGCTGCTGCCCACGAAACTTCATATAACGGTGTAGGGCTTAGGGGGTTTAGGGTGTAGGGTTTTTAAGTACCAAAATGCACGATCTCACCGCCATAGATACTTTTAGCCTTAAGCCCTAAACCCTAAACCCATAAACCCTACACCCCTAAACCCTAAAACCCACTAAGCTGGGAAAGGCCGTCGGAAAGAAGTCCGTCAAGGCTCAGAAGCCGGTCTCCCAGTGATGCTGTCCAGTTGACATCCGTGGTGTTCCTTCAACGGTTCGAGGGACTGCGCACATAATTGCAAGCAGGGTACCCCCAACTAGGGTTTAGGGTTTAGGGCTGAGGGTCCCTTCAATAACACTTGCACCTGCTGGTCTACCCCAGCATTTCGACACTCACAACACAGCCGAAAATCTAACCGTATCCAGACTCTAGACCCCTAAGCCCCAACCCCGGCGATAGGTCTTACTTATAAACCCTAACGGCCACATGAATCATGTAGGGCCCTTATAGTCAGAATAGGGTTTTGGGGTATAGTATACTATAATTCGAGGAACCCCCAAACTAGTCCTGGTAATTATTCAGGCCCCTACATTAAGCTCCGGAAGCATGCCCAGGTCGGCGAGGATGTCTGAGAACGTCTACGAGCGCCACGACGACGAGATGAGCGATGACGTTGGCGATCTCAAGAACAGCACCATGGCTTTTCCTAGCATATTCGGGGTCAACGTACGTACTATTTGGGTACATGGACCCTGAGCAAGGGCCGAGTCAGGTTTTGGATTCAAGTTTAGGGTTGAGGGTTCAGGGTTCAGGGTTGAGGGTTGAGGGTTCAGGGTTTAGGATTCAGCGTTTAGGGTTTAGGATTCAGTGTTTAGGGAGTAAGCCCGCAGCCTTCAACGTCAGCCCAGGGGTTGGTGTTCAAGGTATCGGGTCAGGTGTAAGGTATGGGGCTTAAAGTTTCAGGGTGTCGCTTACCAGGCATCTTTGGGCAAGCAGTGCGCAGTGTTTTTGAGGTCACACTGCGATGAAAGATATCAGGGTCAACAAAGCATGGGCTGCTGCTGTAGAATGATCTTCTGAGGCTTGATGCCACATGTCTTGAACTCTTGGGTGAGTGGAGAGATGGAGCGATTTTTGGCATCTGGATTTCCTCTCACTCTGTGGAAGCATTAATTGCTTTCGGGCAACGACTCTGACCACGGACGAGGCGCTTCATTCATTTGTCTGGGAAGCCACTGACGCGCGGCCTTCTGGACGAAGGGGATATGGCATTCAGCTTCTGGCTTCGGGTTCCTTATTATGTATACCTGCCTAGGGTATATTTTCCCGCGAAGCCCCATGCTGATTCTAGGTCGAAGGAGAAAAGCCAAGGTCGACAGCCCATGCACAATGGCATCTTCGAACATCTAGAACACAGAACTCCGATATAAAAGCCTGGATACTTAAACAATCAGGATATGATTCCATAGGTTTCCTCATTGAACCCTAAACCCTAAACCCCAATTTCTGTTGTATCTTTCGTTTTCTTTTACCTGAAAAACACCGTTCGAATTAAGGCCCTCTGCAGCAACCCTCGACTCCAGCCCCACTGCCCTCCTCAGGAGAAGGCTTTGTCGGTCTCATATAGGCCCCGTATTGATTACCTATACTATTTTGGGGGATCCTTATTCTAGTTCTAGTATAATATGCCCCAAAACCCTATTCTAACTATAAGGCCCCTACATAAAATTCAAGGTGCTGAGAACAAGGCGGAGCGTTTGGAGGACGAGGCACACGGCGGGCTGTTTTAAAAAAAGCCCAGGCGTTAAGGGTTGGCTTAGGATTGTGGAGGGTGTAGGGTTTAGGTTTAGGATTTGGGCTTTAGGGTTATATAGGTCCATATCCGGAACATTAATGCACAGTAACCCACCGTATAGGTGCCTGGGCTTCTAATCTAAAGAAGGATTTCCCAGAAGGGCTGTAGTTGATCTGCGTATGAGATGTGTGCATAGACTTGCAGTTTGGGGCTCAGGGCTTCTAGGGTTTACAGTTTCGGTTTAATTGGGGTTGAGATTAAGACACTATGCATCCAATTCTATTCCAGACCCCGATAAGATCCCTCGGAGGGACCGGCAATTCCGTTGCGCTGCTGCTACGTATTGTGCCGGTGCCTACAAAACCCTAAACCCTATGCTTGTATCCCATTCAGTGCATACACGACACTAAGGCCTTATGTTTGGACTTTTGGGTCCATTGTAGGTACGAGAGACTATAGATAAAGACTACTTGGACCCTTAGGGCTAGACACTAAACTCTGAACCCTAAGCCCTAAACCCTGAACCCTAGACCTTAAACCCTAAACCCTAAACCCTGAACCCAAAGCCCTAAACCCTAGACCCCAAAACCCTCGACCCTAAACCCTAAACCCTCAGGTCCTCCGGGTCCTTCGTGGTCCTCAGCTGCGTCTAAGCCCTAGGGAACCCACCTTTTTGAGTTCAAGTATATAAGTACAAACCAAACACCAAGCCCTTCGAAAGAAAGCACACCAATTTGTCTGGGTTTGGGGTTTAGGGTTTAGGAATTAGGGCCCGGTTTAGTTCATTGTCAGGGTTTAGGGTTTAGGAATTTTAGGGCCCACACCACACCTCCCGAACATAAATAAACCGGTCAAGGAAGGTCCAGCAAATCAATGTCCAGGCTCCTCAACAGCCAAGAGCGATGACTCCAATTTTGAGAACTGAACCACAGGTGATATTTTATCCCTGTTTTAGTTATCCCAAGCCCTAAACCCAAACCCCCACCGAAGCCCGGAAAAGCCCCTTCAAGCCCAATAAACCTGAACAACCCTGATTTCCCCGACAGGTCGGAAGCCCTAAGACTCGTTTGACAGGGTTCTTGCTGTACATGTTTAGGTGTATAGTTTAGGGTTTAGAGTTTTGCTTTGTGTGTGTGCGTAAGGCAAGGTTGTAGGATGTTGTAGGGCTTAGGGTTTAGGGAAGCATGCCATGTAAACTGCAGAATGTAAAGCTCATGGAATCCGGGCAAGGTCGGCGACTACTTCTCCCGCATGGAGGATCGGCGCCAAAACCCTAAACACTAAATAAACCCTACAACGGTTTTAGGTCTAGATGTCGAGGCTTTTGGGTTGAGGTTTTCAAGGGTTTGTAGGGTTTCTGGTTTAGTTGCGAGTGTGAAGTTGCAGCTATCCATCCCTCGCACCATGTGTCTTTGCACATCCACTCCTTGCTGCAAAGCAGGTAAGGACGCATTAGCTTCAGGTAGTTCATTTCCGTGTGGGGCTGAGAGGATTTAGGCGGTTGATGGCTACAGGGTTTAGGGCTATAGGGCTTTTGAGGCTCAGGGCTGGGGCTCGTCATGCCGCTTAAGACTTCTGGCGTGCATCCAGGAACAGAAGGGGAATAATACCGAAGGGAAAGACGACAGTCTCTATGCAGGTTGGTGGCAAGACAGAAAGATAGGCTGAGGGCAGCTTGAAGCCTTCATTGTACCACGGCAACATCAATCAGAAATCAGCAACATCCAAACGTTAAGCCGTAAACCCTAAACCGTGTACAGCATACGATAGAAGCATACCAAGAAATGCAGCCCCGCCTTCCACTGTAATCCCCAACCCTGCTGACAGGATGATCTCCGCCAGACAGCTTATGACAAGCGTGCCAGGTACGTCACGGAAGGGATGTCGAGTTGGGGCTTAAGGGCTTTCGAGCTGGACCACACTTAAACCCGAGCAAAAAGCACACCTTGGCCCTACAGCGCGGTATCCTGAACCCTGAGCCCTAAACCCTAACCTTTTACCTGAAAGCCTATCAGAATAAACCTTAAAACTACAGCTCGGTATCTTGAACCCTGAGCCCTAAACCCTAAACTTTACCTAAGCCCTAACATAATAAACCTTAAAACTGCAGCTAGGTATCTTCCATCCTCAATGTTGCATGGGCTATGGGTCGATTCCGATGCTTCTCCGGGCTCTGGGCTCCGGGGTGTTTGCGAATTCCGCTTTAGGGCTTGGGGCCTTTGGGTTTACGGTTTGGGGTCTGGGGTTTAAGGCCCTAAACCCTAAACCCTAAACCCCTTGTTGTTGGTTGCTAGGGTTTGGTTGGGGTTTCCATGGTTGTTGTTTCTTAGGGCTCGAAGCTCTGTTGGGTTTAGGGTTCAGGGTTTAGGGGTTTAGGGTTTAGGGATGAGGGTTTATGATTTAGGGTTTAGGGGTTTAGGGTTTAGGGATGAGGGCTTAGGGTTTAGGGTTTAGGGGTTTAGGGTTTAGGGGTTTGAGATTAGGTTTTAGGGTTTAGGGTAGATGCAGGCCTCTTCATCAAGCGCGCTGTAGGTGTTGATGTGGGCTTCCATATGTGCCCCCCCCACACACACACACACAAAGGTTTTTGAAAGCTGGGACCGCGCCAACTAGCAGGATCGTAGATCTTTGTCTGTTGAGATTAGGGTGTAGGGCCTGTAGTAGGATTGCGGGCTTTAGGGGTTTAGGGTTCAGGGTAGAGTGCACCCCAAAAAGTTGGAAGCCGGATTAAGGACAGTTGGTGCTGGGATTCCCTCTGCACTACTCTTCAGGATTGAGGCTGCTGGGTTTCCAGACCCTGGTGGTTCAGCTTCCTGGAAACCCCTGAACCCTAAACCCTAAACCCTAAGCAGAGAGATCATCACGTTGGCAGTGGACAAGGGCTTGCTGACCAGTAACGTCGAGGAGAAATTCGTGGGCTGCCTGATGGGGCTCGCGGGCGCAGCCGTACGCAGCTTGATCAATATTCACGATTACATCCAGAGCTACTCGGGCGCAGGCAACACGAATGCAACCTTCGTGAGGGAGACTGCGAGCAAGGTCATCGCCGGGACTGCGATGATCATAAACTTCGGGTGCAGCGTTTTGTACTGCACGCCGAACTCCACCGGTTTCATTACGACTATGAGTTCTGTCGAAGTTGCAGATGAGACCTACAATCCTTGTGACTATCAGTTTGGTAACACGAGACATGGTCAATTCGCACACACAATATCGTTTCTGCACAAGGCCACATCGATGAGTTGCGTGAGCTTCATGAAGATGCATTGGTTTGGACCGAGACCTCAGCCACTGTAACCCCTAAACCCTAATCCCTAATCGCTACACCCTAATTCCTAAACCCTAAACCCTAATCCCTAGAGGAACACCATGGTTTCAAGAAGTTCCTCTGTTCCAAGGGAGCTGAGCCACAGCGCGAAGCAGGCGATCTCGCATCTCCATGAGGCTTGGGGTTCAAAGTTTAGTGTTCAGGGTTGAGGGCTTTTAAAGTCTAGTGTTCAGGGTTGAGGACTTTGGGTTTTGGGTTTGGGGGGTTCTGGTTTTTGGGGGGTCCGGCGTAGGGTTTGGGATGTAGGGCTTGTGGGGTTTTACGCTTGAGAGTTCCGGGCCTATCGCGCAGGATGATTTACGTGTTTAAGGTTCAGGATTTGCCAGGACCTCCCAAATACCCTTTGATAACACGCCCTGGGAGTGCAGCTGTTGACGTGTTTTGCGGGCATTTCGCTGTCAAAGCACCCAAGCTCCAGGTAATATCTAGTCAAACCGAAAAGCAAAACCACCAGAAACACCAAAAACGCCTGACAAAAACAGCAAACAACAAACAAACAACAACACTAACAAAGCCAACAAAAACCTAAACCAAACTAAATATGCCCTATTGAGACCCTCAAACCCCCAAAGCCGTAAAAACCCTGCACCTTATAAACCCTAGACCCTAAACCCTCAAGCCCCAAAAGGCCAAAAAACCCTAGACCCTGAACCCTCAAACCTCAAAGGGCCCAAAAACCCTAGACCCTAAACCCTCAAACCCCAAACGGCCCAAAAACCCTAGACACTAAACCCTGAAGCCCAAAAGGCCCAAAAACCCTAGACCCTAAACCCTCAAACCCCGAACAAAACCCTAGACCCTCAACCCTCAAACCCCCAAAAGCTCCCCCCCCACAAGAACCCCAAGCTCTCCGCAGGTGGCTCGGGACCTCGGTGCCCAAGCCGCCTTTCAGGAGGTCCGTTTTAAGGGTTTAGGGGTTTAGGGTTTAGGGTTCAGGGGTTTAGGGGTTTAAAGTTTAAAAGTTTAAGGTTTAGGGTGTAAAGTGGCTTCGGAGGGCCTTCAGGGTTTAGGGCTCAGGGCTTAGGGTTTTTAGGGCTCGGGGTTTATGGTTTAGGGCTCAGGGTTTAGGGTTTGGGGCTCGGGGTTTAGGGTTTAGGGCTCAGGCCTTATAGGGTTCAGGGTTTATCTTGGCTCTAGGGTTTATACGGCTTTTGGACGTATAAGGCTTTGGGTTTACATAGGTTTTAGGGCTTGGGGCTTCAGTGTCAATCGGTTTAAGAGGGCTCTCGGGCTCTTCTTAAGGGTCTTATAGAGGGCTCTTCTCGAGGTTTATTAAATAGAGAGCCGTCATAAGGGGTTTACAGATGTTTACAGCATATTTTGGATTTTTTGGTTTAGAGTCGTATGGTTTGTTAGAGGGTTTCTGGCGGGGCTGTTAATGAAGGGTTTGCAGTTGTTGCTTTGGCTTTAAGATGTTCCACGGGGTTAGAGTTCAGAGTTCAGAAGGGTTCCTAGAAGTTTCTTATACGAGTTCGATGAGGGCCCCGACCCGTTTCCCTCACTGCGGGGGTGGGGGTGGGGGGCGCATCGTCATTAAAGCCTTGACGGCCCGTCTTCGGCCGTTCTTCATGGATGCCACACGCCCGTGGCCTCAGTTCGCATACCTGCCAGGTCGATATGCGTTCGCCCGTGCCTTCAAACACTGCCACCCTAAACCTTAAACCCTAAACCCTAAACCCTAAACCCCATGAAGTTCAGACCGTGGTGACCTCGTGCAGAGTAGCCGTCAGGGAGCGCCGCGAAACGGATCGACAGCCCGTCGGGTGCCGCGGAGGCATTACCATCTCCATCGACACCAGTAAAGCCTTCGATACGGTTGATCGGACGGTTCTCGAGAGGGAGCTGCGTCTAGCTGGCGTTCAAGACACGGAAGTGACTCTGATCATGAGCTTACATCCCGAGATCGGCTATTCGCCGATGGGGCAGGAGGCCGCCGGCACCCGAGTCCAAAACGCGGCGTCCGTCAGGGATGTCTGTGCCCAGCTTGTGGACGCTCATCACGGTTGCACTCCTTAGGACCCTGGAGTCGAAAACGTCCACCCCATGGGTGCAAGACTAGGTCACATGTTCGCTGACGATCTCTTGTTGCAGTGGGTGTTTCACACCGTTCAGGACCTGGACCGTGTGCTGATTCACATGGGCGAGTGCCTCAGCATCCTCCAATACCTGGGTCTGGAGGTACAACACAAAAAACGTCGGTGATTGTGGCTTATCGAAGCTGCTATTAGCTGGTACGGGTTTGGAGATAGGGACTGAAATGGGAAGTTTGGGCCTTGTGGGTGTTTAAAGGGGATTGTTGTCAAACATTGGCCGGTTTTTTAGGTTTATGATTTAGGGTTTCGGCTTCATGCGGGCCCTTATCGCTTAAACCCTAAACAATAAACAGGCCTCGTGAGTTTGCGGGCTTGGAGCTTTTATAGGACGCTCGGGGGTGCAGGTTTCATCCAAAACCCTGTAAGCCCTAAACCCTCCAAGCCAAAAGCCGAAAACCCTCCAAGCCCTATAAGCCTGAAACCCTATAAGCCCTAAGCCCTAAACCCTAAACCCTATAAGCCCTAAACCCCATAAGCCCTAAACCCTAAGCCCTAGACCCTGTAAAACAAAAGTCACCGTGCAGGCCGAATCCTCGGCTCGCTTCCGCGCTGAGGAGAAGCGCTGGGCGCGAGCCTTGGGGCTTACGGGCTTAGGGTTAGGGTTTAGGGTTTTGGGTTTATAGGGCTTATAGGGTTTATAGGGTTTATAGGGTTTATAGGGCTTAGGTTTAGGGGCTCCTTTAATAATACCCTGAACCCTAACCCCTAAATCCGCTAAGGGGGTTCCCGTGAAAAGGCTTAGGGTCTCAGGGTTTAGAGTTTAGGATTTATGGGGTCTTAGGGTCTTAGGGCTTACGGTCTTATTGTAAGGTTTCAGGGCTTAGGGTTTTAGGAGTTCGGGTTTATAAGGTTTAGGGTTTAGGGTTTAGCGGTTTCGGGCTGCCAAGATCAGGGTTCTAGGAATTAGAGATCCATAAGAGTTCCGGAATGTCCAGAACACTAGCATGAACGCCTACATGATCAAAACAACCCTAAACCCTAAACCCTACATGATCCAAAGGGTGCGAAGGAGGAACTGCAACTTCAGGCTGCGGCTTAGTTTAGGAACTTTTGGGCTGTCGGGCTTAAGGGGTTTGGGAGTTTAGGATTAATATAGGGTCCTGAATAAATAGAACAGGGTTTGGGGTATAATTATATTATACTTATAAGAAGGTACCCAAAACCCTATTCTAATTATCAAGGCCCCCATGTTATATATAGTTTCAGAGTTTAGGACTTGAGCTTTGGGGTTTAAGGCTGTGGACCGTTCTTGGGAGAACCTACGTTATGGGTTTGGGGTCCGATGCTACGGCCAGCTTCATGGGTAGAAACCGAGGAGAGTTGCTTTAAGCGAGTCTTGGCCCCTGTTAAGGAATTTAGGGTTTCGGGTTTTGGGTTTAAGTGGCCATAATAATAATAAGGGAAAAATAATTATCAATTTCTACAGACCTCTGTCATGGTAAGT